TGTCGAGCGGAACCATTCGTGATACAACCATAATAATGAGTCTTTACCACGTATAACTATTTAAAACGTAGTGTAGGAATGTTATTTTTGTGAACCATACCAATCTCCCACACGGCGATGTACACAAGACAATTGGGGTGCCAAATATGTGATTCCAGCGACTCGCTTTGTTATAGTTAATTGTGGCAAAGATAATGTAGCACATAAATGTAATTACAATGTAAATGAAATTAGAGTATTGCTTATTCCATTTTTTTATAATGGAGTTAGGTTTATCGTGGCGAAACATCGCAAACATTTAAACCATTGTTAATATGTGAACTTTAACAAAATAACAATAGAAAGCCGGTACGGATTTTCGACAAAAATTATTATACTCCGTTCTTCCACAGCGGAATAATAGGCTTGGTATATCGTCAGATAACTGGACGGGTGTGAGAACAACAGTATCTTATTAGCCTGCCTAATTAATGCTAAAGGTCACCATAAATTGTTTTATCAAATTTCCTATTTTTAAATTGCTTGATTGCACTTGGTTCTCATTCAAGATCATTGCCTTAGTAATCTCTATGTCTGTTTACACATTTGTGCCTATAAAATCGTTGAATGCAAATTTTTCTACCGACTTCAAAAAGGAGCTGGTACTCAATTTAACTGTATGTTTTTTTATGTGTGTTACCTCATAACTGGGTGAACCGATTTCGATGATTCTTTTTTTATTTGAAAGCTGGTGCTTCCCATGTGGTCCCATATAAATTGATCAAGGTCTGACCCATAGTTTTTGAGTTATTCTTAATAATTTCTATTAAAGTCGGTTGTACAAAATTTTTAATTTAAAATTATTACTGTTTAGATTTACTTTTAATGCCTGAAGGCAAATATTTAAATAGTTTTATAGTCTTTAAAATATTTTAATTGCTTGAACGCAGGGGTTTCCTGGCGACGTTTTTGATGTGAAACATCTATAGCGGCGCGGCTGGTCAGACCACAATTTTTTTTCCAACACCGTCGAGTCTTAGAGATCAAACTTGAGTTATTCTCGTGTTATGAAATATAAGACAAATGATAATCTCCAGCAGCTTGGTATACGGAATAATTGTTCATCTTCATCATCTGCCTTCATAAGGCCACTACTAAACATAGGCCTCCCCCAAAGAATGCCACTGAGCACGGTCCCGGGCCACCCGCATCCTTCGACTTCCTGCATCTCTTAATGGGTCGTAACTCCATCTATCGGATCAGTAAACTGAAGTAGCAATACGCATATAGTTCAAAGAATAGACAATCGAGTGGCAGCCTCGTACCGGTAAGTGAACTGTAGGGTGATCTCCCACTAGATGGAGTGAAAAAATTATTCATCGTAGTTAAATCGAGATGTTCTAATTAGGTACAGTTAATCACAGTCTTTATACTAGTGTTATCTAATAATAAAAATAAATTTCCTCCTAACAATATCTTATCTTGAACACAAGCGACTCTGTTAAACGAAATCAAACAAGCCCAATAGTTAACAGTTATTTAAAAATTGTTTACGACTGCGCAAAAAGTTTGCCGAAAAGAAAAAAAACCCATATTGTACCCCATATTGTTGTTAGAGTGACATTATACACTCGTATGTCACTTCCATAACTAAGATGCATCTGATGAAGCCCCGCATGATAAAATCCTTCCAACTGTTTAGACTAAAGAGAGTACCAAAGATATAAACATACATATATATACTCGAAACAAACTACCCTTCTTTTGGGGTAGCCAGGTAGGATAGAAGTAGGTGCGGTCAATTTACTTATATTTTTTTGCACGATACACGAAATCTTCGAGTGTCAAATATCAATATATATCGTAGCCGATTAAGCTGATTTTATTCACAAATAGATTATGAATAATAATTGCCTTTTGCACTTTCATAATTGCCTCTAACATAAATTTCAACAAGATCTAATGAAGTCGGTTTATATATTTTTAATAAATATAATATAATTAATAGAATCAGGCGTTACTTTGCGGAAATCCATTATATAAAAAAGCTTTTACAAAAATTTACTTCGCAAATATCCGCGTTATAAAATAAAATGATGTGTCTTAGACAAGAGACTAGAGATCTTAGCGGTTAGCCACCGTAGAGTCTATATCACCTGAGGATGCCTCGTGTAGAGGCGAAACACGTGTCGTATTATCGTCAGTGGTGTGTCTTGCCTAGTGTAATGGTGTTGGGAGTAGCGGTGCTGGGGTTAGTGGTGACGGGGATAGTGCACGCAATTGAGGGAGGGCGGGAGGTGCTCTTCGTACTAGGTAAGACACATCGTTTTATTTTATAACGCGGATATTTGCGAAGTAAATTTTTGTAAAATGCTACGGTGGCTAACCGCTAAGAGATCTCTTAGCGGTTAGCCACCGTAGAGTCTATATCACCTGAGGATACCTCGTGTAGAGGCGAAACACGTGTCGTATTATAGTCAGTGGTGTGTCTTGCCTAGTGTAGTGGTGTTGGAAGTAGCGGTGCTGGGGTTAGTGGTGACGGGGATAGTGCACGCAATTGAGGGAGGGCGGGCGGTGCTCTTCGTACTAGGTAAGACACATCATTTTGTTTTAGAACGCGGATATTTGCGAAGTAAATTTTTGTAAAATGCTACGGTGGCTAACCGCTAAGAGATCTCTTAGCGGTTAGCCACCGTAGAGTCTATATCACCTGAGGATGCCTCGTGTAGAGGCGAAACACGTGTCGTATTATCGTCAGTGGTGTGTCTTGCCTAGTGTAGTGGTGTTGGAAGTAGCGGTGCTGGGGTTAGTGGTGACGGGGATAGTGCACGCAATTGAGGGAGGGCGGGAGGTGCTCTTCGTACTAGGTAAGACACATCATTTTATTTTAGAACGCGGATATTTGCGAAGTAAATTTTTGTAAAAGCTTTTTTAAATAAATATAATATTTATTACATTAAAATTGCACACACGTTATACATATGTATACACACACATATACATTATAGTAAAAATTCTTGGTCAACATATTTTACTTGAATATTTTCGTATTACATTATTTATTGCTAGCTGTTCTCCGCGACTTCGCCCGCGTGTTATTTGGCGTTTTAATTTTTTTGCGCATAACCCTAATTCTTTCTCTAAAATAAATGTAGCTTAAGTTACTCCTTGTGACATCAGCTATCTGCCAGTGAAAATCCCGTCAAAATCGGTCCAGCCGTTTCCGAGATTAGCCGGAACAAACTGACAGACAGACGGGCAGACAAACAGACAGACGGGCAGACAAACAGACAGACATACAGACAAAAACATTAAAAAATGTATTTATGTTATTAGTACCGTATATACTTTCATATGCATTTAGTAAAAAGCTATAATTTTGACATCACAAACAGACACTTCAATTTTATTTATTTGTATTTGTATAGATTTACATAATTGTTCATATTTAGTCCACTATTAGGCAATAATATTAGTATATATTAGTATATAAATATTTGTCAATAATTGTCCTCAATAATTATACCGTCAAGGTTGCAACACTTAAAAGAGGCAATAAGACTTTTCCCTTGTCGAATTTAACCATTTCCGGGATAAAAGTAGTAGCAACACATTATTAGCCTTTCTTGTTTGAAGTTGACTGCAAGCGTCCATGGACCGCAATAGTCCATCATCACTTTGGTTTAATAAAAAATAACCTTTGTCACTGTTATCTCAAAAATTATTTAGGAAATATGAATAGAATAATTTCGACAGCGACAAGCAAAAGCGACAGCCCTCCGATCTCACGCATATACAAATGTTACGAAATATCTGAAACATATTTTTATAATAAGGTTAAAACACTCGTGCAATAATTATTACGTAACCGCCTTAAGACATTACTTACATTTATAAACACTCTCTCTTTGATACATATTTTTCATACCGCATTCTCTCGCGGTGTTATGTTGCTTATCCTTAATACATTTCGATACTATTGGATTTAAAAGTGCAACGACCGTGTTACATAAATTTCATAATCTTTTAAAATTTAAATCAGTATAAATTTTCATATTTGAATACTCAAGAACTATGTGTAACGAATGCGTCGGCCCGACCGGGGAAGGACCACGCTCTCACAGAATACCAGCGTAAAATGGCAGCTTGACACTACTGTGTTTCGTATGGTGAGTGTAGAGAACCGGAGATCCATTTTAGAAAAGAGGCGTCATTTACTCCTCACGGGTGACGACGCATCTGCATTTTGATTCTTCATTTAACGTAGATGTCTATGGGTCACAGCAACCACTTACCGCCAGGTGGAGTGTGTACTCATTTATCACCATATAAACAAGCCAATATCCAAAACATTGTTATGTAATTTGTTCAGCTTGTAAATTCAAAACACCTACACAGTGACATCGGTGGAATCCTTTCCTATCCACGAGTATCATATATATTATATATATATATATATATATATATATATATATAGGATATATTCCTTATATATCCTCTTGGGTAATTGGGTAATTCTGCCCCCAAATATCTAGCATACCGTCGTGAGTGCACGATGTACTTATGACTAAAAATTTTGTATAATAAAACACACGATATACACATTAGTCCACTGTGCGGTTTACAAGAAGTTTTCTTTCTCGCCGATACGACTTAGAGACCTTCAAGAAAAGAGCCTACTCCTTTACAAAAGAGCGGCAACGCGTCTGCGATTCCCCTGGTGTTGCAGTTGTTCATGGGTGGTGGTCACTTACCCATCAGGTGAACCGCATGCTCGTTTGTCCCCTCTTATATATAAAAGAGCAAGCGATTCAAACTTTCAAACGGTTCAAAGGCACAACATTCATTGCCTTCGAGAAATTAATTTAAAGTGAAAATCCTACATCCATATGACCAGCATGTCAAAGTGGAACAAAATGTTATTACGGATGTTTCGTTCGGATTGCATTCTACAAAATCAGTATGATGAATTAAAACTATTTTATTTTTGTGCCGTAGCAATTGCTCGTAGCTAGTTGAAAATGATTGCTAAGAAAGGTTAGTAATAGATCAGTAACATCCGGTAATTAAATGTATTTATTGTGTTATCGTAAGCTGAAGTGGTAAGGGCCGGCCATATAGCTCGAAGAACCGACAAATGATGGGGAAGGATAGTTCTCCAGTAATAATCTTCTACCGGTAGCGAAGTGTAGAGCTGCCCCCCCCCCCCTCCACCACTACATGGAGTGATGACCTGGTAATATATACAAGAAGTCTATAGATGGATGTCTTCTGTGGCATTCCTTGATGGACTGTATTGATGATAATGACTTTTATTATTACATGTGCATGCAAAATATTATCCTGTAAACCAAGATGTCGTTATGTTGAATAAATTATGACAATAATTGAAAAAATATAATTTTTGTGCACAAGTTATTAGACTTAAATTAACAACATAATATTTTGCCTCCATTCGTTCCTTTTTTATTTTTTGAATATCATCTCCTTTGTGAAAAGTTTAACTTTATCTTTTGATTCTTTTTTTATTCATTTATTAATCCATTACAGCTTAACAAAAGTCAACTGCTGACACAGACTCCTCCCTAAATTGCCTCATAGAGAGAATATTTGTCATATACGAGTATACCTCGCTTGGCACGCAGGTTTGCAACTGCAGTTTTAATTATTTTCAGTTGTCATTTCATTTACCCATTTCGCCTCTTATCGACTCGGAATGATATAATTATATAAGTTAGTTTATTTGTTTGACTTATTTAACGAAAATAAGACATATTGAAAATTCTAAAATTTACAGTTTTAATGTAAATATTAAGGTATTTTTATAACTCAGAAAAAGCTTATTTCATTCTAGTTTACATATTATGAAGTAATAAAATATATTTAAGTAACACTCTTCTGTTTTATTTATATATTATATAATATATTTTTAATCTAAGTAATCCAAGTCACACATATTTTTTTTGTGTAGTGTTCGGTGTTGCTACAATTATACATTTACAAAAAATCTTGTTCCAAAACCATTTTCACCAAACAATTTTTACTGAACCCCAAAACATTACCTGATCCCATTATACGTGTTGTGGCGTAACAACTGCGAAATTGCTCAGCTGATTATTGCGTGATTGGACGGACAATCGAAGCAAAATAATAGCATTAAACACCTAGGAGGCAATACGTTTTATATGCCTAGATTACATTGTTCCGTAGATACAATTGTACGACTTACGCTCAAATACTAAAATGTCTCCTAAAAAAATTGATAAAAAATTAACAGACCCCAAATTTAAATCATTTAAAGACACGTATCCCCACTGCGCTTTCGCACTCGCGTTAGCCTTAATCTATCCAAATAGAAAGAACTTTCGGAATCGAATGATATGTATCTTTGCCGTAATCGTTTTAAATACTCCCAATCTATTATGGTTTTCAATGTACCTATTTAAATGCCTCCGTATCTTAGACATGTTTAATCTAGCAAGGAACATCACTATTGGCGTTTTGATTTGTATTTTTTTCTTTAAGTCATTTTACGTTAACTACAAGAACGACCTGTTTGGTGAGTTGCTCGGTAAAATATCAGAAGATCTTCTTAAAGGCAATGATATGGCAGAAGATTACCAAGAAATATATGAACAATACATACAATTAGGAAAATTTTCTGAAGCCTTGTGGATAATCATACCGATGTTTTTAAGTTCTCAATTCCCAATATATGCTGCAGTGACCATGATAATTGAAAGTGTAAAAAGTGACACAGGAACGAGATATATGGTTCACGAAATGGATTTAAAGTACATAGAGGACATACAATATGAATCTCCGTACTTTGAAGTATTATGGGCGTATAATTTATTGCCATGTATCGTTCTTATGCTAAACTTTGTTGGATTCGATGGTTCTTTCTGCATAGCGACAACTCACCTGCGGCTCAAACTGAAACTGATGTCGCATAAACTCTACAGAGCATTCAAAGACTCAAGCAACAGAAACGAGCTCGAGGCAAAAGTGAAAGATGTTATTAAAGATCACCAAGGATCACTTCAGTTTTATAACCACTTGCAAAACTTGTATGGCGGCTGGCTCCTTGTCGTGTTTCTTTTGACATCTCTTATAATATCAATGAACGTGTACCAGATTTATCTCTGTCAACAAATCCACCCTAAGTACACAATATTTGCAGTTAGTGGTATGATTCATATGTTTGCGCCTTGTTATTTTTCTAGTAAATTAGAGAAGGTATGTATTATTTTAAGTACAAATATCAAACTTATATTATAACTAAAATGTAAACTAATTAGATATCTTTATCTCTTAATTTTTAAATATTTTTTGAGGGATTGTTGAGAAAACCATAGTACAAAACAATTAGGCCGAGATTAAAATCTTCCTTAAAATCAGACAAGGTTAATAGGGCAATAACTTTATTTGGAGTCTGTTATTAATTGTGTAACATATTTTAATGTACCATAATTATAATGTGTATACTGTGAACCTTAAATATGACTGTACAACACAGGAATGCACTAGCCTATTTCATCCAGTGACTGTCGTAAGCGGTAGACAGAAGAAATCTGAAACAAGAGATAGGCAGCGGCATCTGATAATAATTGTGGTTGTCAACCCGTCTGCTAAGAGTGGTTGCTATTGCAAAATGAGACACCCCTACAAGGCAATATATGGAAGAGACCTATGGTCACCAGTGGACTTTTGAAAAACTTTAATGATGATGATGATGATGACGCTGACAGCACAGAAACCCCTACGGTTTTTGTGTAATAATTACTTTTGATTGTATAAGGGTCATGCGCTCAATGAATAAAAAAGTTAATTTATTAATTCTTATTTACTGATGCATATGTAAGGTATTTGAAATTATTGCACATACTGGTCGACCATCGACTGACAAGTTTCTACTTTCGACCTTACGTACCCAGACAGAAATTTTTGTAAGTAGCAATTATGAAAAATTTCAAAATATCCCATAGCCTTCGATATCGATATTTTGAATATTGCAGCATCACCATCTAGTTCTAGTGTAAGCCAAACGTAAAAGGCGCGGACCTGTAACAGATACTCATAGAAGTGTCAAACTAAAAAACTAAAAATTCTGCACAAATGCAGAATACCAATACCAAGCGAGGCGACAGGGAAAACCCTCTCTACAGTGGGAAAGGCCCATGTCCATCAGTGGACTATACGTGCTGATGATAAGAAGAAAAAAGAACAGAAGAGAATATGTTTTTTAAAATAGAAACTTTTCTTTACTTTTAGTATATTTTTAATACTGATGTAAATATTTGATCACAGTTGTTTTTTATAGTTTATCACTAATATATAGTTAATAATATAGTTTACAACTTAATTATCACTATTTAAAATTGTTAAATTTACCCATTTCAGGCAGGTGAAGATTTCAGCGCAAGCATTTACTGCGTAGCCTGGGAAAAATGGGCTGACCCTTCTGTCACCAAGCTCTTGATATTTATGATTGCCAAGTCTCAGCAACCACTGATACTCACAGGGAAAGGAATGGTCTACATCAACATGCAATTGTTTGTATCTGTACTACAAACGTCTTACTCTTTCTTTACATTAATTTCTAGTTAATAACATAGTTGAATATATTACTTACAATTACACAGTTATTGAGTGAAGGTTACTAGCAGAAACAATGACCCTCAAAACTCAAAGTATTCTAGTTTGAGGCTTACTATGCAATGTTATGTAACTAAATCCAGTCTTGCTTTCATATACATTTCACATTTCATAACATTCCTTCATCATTTTGTACATGTAAACCCGCACCCAGCATGGTCATGAAAAATACTTTATTTCTGCCGCCTGGGCTCTCTTGGTTTCCGAGAGCAGAGCAACACGTGCGAAGCCATAAACACCGCTCTTAAAGTAATTAAAACAGCGAAATCAAATAAACTTCTCAGCATCGCTATATCGCTCGATACAAAAGCGGCCTTTGATAACGCTTGGTGGCCTACACTCTTCCACCGGCTGCGGCATATCCAATGTCCTAATGACATCTTTGGACGTATTTAGGATTATTTATTTATTTATTTAGTATTCTTTATTGCACACCATACATAAATTACAGAAATTATATATATAAAAGAAATATGCAATGGGCGGTCTTATTGCTGGCAGCAATTTCTTCCAGACAACCAATGAATGGACAGGATTGCACGAACATTACAAGGGCAGGGCAGATTGGTGTGATAGAGAAAAACAAGAGCTAAAAAAGAATAAACACACACACACACATATATATATATATATATATATATATATATATATATATATATATATATATATATATTTATTTATATATAAAAATTACGAGTCACATTGTTTGTCCGCGATGAACTCCTAAAGTACTGAACTGATTTCAATGAAATTTTGCACACTGTGTGCAGTTTGGTCCAACTTGAGAGATAGGCTCTTCTTATTATATCTATGTATAGGAGAGTTTTTATTCCGATAAGTGACCCTCAATTTTTTTAATTGCTAATTTCAGGAGTTTTTTTTAGGAAAGCAAATGGTCGTCGGAAAGGGCAGAACAGCTATGCCTGGTCAGCTAGTCTAGTCTAGCTAGTCATATATATATATACATTACGCTAGGAGGCTGCCGAGGCATAAACTTTACGATTAATTTCTTTGATGTGCTGTCCCCACGACAGATTCTTATCTATGTGTATACCTAAGTTCTTTCCTGAATCTCTGTAAGGAATAATAATTTTACCAAATACTATAAGACGCAGGTAATCTAGTCTCGACTTAGCCAACATTTGCGCGCTGCCCACGATAATGCCTTGCGATTTTGCTGGGTTAACGTGAAGGCCGTATGCATTACTCCACTCAAGAATTCGATCGAGATCTGCATTAATAACTTTGATAGCATTGGGGAGATCGTTGGGACAAGCTTATGTATATATTTGTAGATCATCTGCATAAAGGTGGTAGGAAGAAGTTAAATTATTGAATATTGAGTTTATAAAAACTGCAAAAATAAAGGAGATAAAAGGATTATGTCCGCGATCGACTCGCCTCCGCGCATAGTCATTCTTGACGGAGGCAAGTCACCAAGACGATGTCTAAGGGCTGCATACAAGGCTCCACGTGTGGCACTGTTCTCTGGAATATTATACTTGATGAGTTACTCGACGCGCAGCTTCCAGCGGGATGCCACATACAAGTCTTTGCGGACGACGTCCTGCTGGTTGTTATGGCCGCGAGTGGTGGCGAGCTGGAGAGCGCTGCCAACTTAGCTCTCCACCATATACTCGAATGGTGGAAGAGCGTCAAGCTGATGTTCGGCCCCACTAAGACTAAGCTCATTGCCTTGACACCTAAGGCCAAGACGGCCAGCATTAACATCGATGGACACCGACTTTCCTTCGTTCCGGAGGCGAACCTTTTGGGTGTTATTTTAGATGACTAATTAAAATTTTGCAAAGTATGTAAAACACGTTATTGGCAGTGCCGTGCGGATCGTCGACACTCTCTGCATGTACTCGATACAAACCAGCGGGTGATTGTGCCAACGATCACCTACGCTGCTGAGATTTGGAGACGTGTAGCCAAGAAAACTTACATCAGGAGAGCACTCGAGAGCATGCAGCGCGGGTTTGCCATCAAGGCTATTAGGAGATTCCGCGCGGTTTCTACATCCGCGGCTAAGCACAGTTTACGCCTCTGGACTTGAAATTGCGGGAAGGGAAGTTTGCGCTTCGGAAAGGGCTCGGCTTTTAGTAACCTCTGACTGCATCCCCAGCGACATCACATTAGAAAAACCCACTCTCATCTTGGAACTGCTTCATCCCGCCCAACGTATCTCCCTAATCACCAGGACTTATACTAATTATTAACGACTCAACCTACACATGGACAGACGACACACAACATATTCACTGACGTAAGTAAGCAGGAGGACGGTGCGGTGGGCGCCGACTTTATATGCTACGAATCTTCACAAAATGGCCTACACCAAGAAGTTCAAATTGCACAACACGTGTACAGTTTTTCAAGCGGAGCTGTTTGCAATGTCGCTGTCATGCAGAAGGACTAAAGAACACAAACATACAAGCCATACAAAACAGAATCAACACACACCTCATCATCACACAAATACATCAAACTATACACGAACACTGGGAAACAGGCACCATAGAATTGGGATGGGTCAAGAGTCACTCAGGCATAGCTGGCAATGGGGCAGACAAGGCTGCCAATTCCGGATCTAAGCTGCACAAACAGGCTGACTACTTGGCCTTTCCCATCTCATACCTCAAACACAACATTAAAACACATAACCGTGCAATCTGTAAAGCTAGGTATTATAGCGCAGAACAGGGCCAACATACTAATCGGCTGCTACAAACCCTTACAAAACCTAGATTTTTTAACTCAGGTGCTCACTAATCACCGTTTTCACAAAACTTATCTCTGCCGTTTTAAAATATCTGACTATAACCATTGCCCTTGTAATAATGTCACCCCACAGACGCTGGAGCATCTTATCGAGCATTGCCCTGCATTCTCAGTGCATCGACTAAATCATCTAATTGTATGTGAAACTGTACTTTGTCTTTATTTTATTTATTTTACTGTCATCACACCACTTTATTTGTGTTAGAGTCAACATTACCTTTTGTGTTTTTAACATATTGTGTGGTTTAGATTCTATTGTGTTTATAAAAAGTGTTATATTAAATTTATTATGTTTATTTTTATGTCATCATACCATTCTCTTTGTGTTCTATATTAAGGCCTAACTTTGTTTTTATTATTTTTATATATTTAGTGTTTGAGCCAAGTCTACCATTTGTTTACATAAAGATTTTTCTATGTTTTAATTATTTAATTAATAATGACATATTTAAAAAAAAATCTTTTGATTGTGTAAAGCGGTAAGCGCGAGACTGCTGGAAAGGGTTATATACAATGTATAAAATCGCACAAATATTTAACATGGAAAAATGTGTAATTTAGATATAAGCAAAATTGTATTCAAAGTGAACAAGTCTGTGGAAACTGACAATATAGTCCCGCCGGTGGGGGTGTACCTTCCGGCGGAAAACATAAACATAACGCCAATGCTTGCACTGCTGTTTTGCAGTCTGAAGGATATAGAAAGTCAGTACAATTACAGACTGTGACGAATTCCATCTTAGTCCTCTCGGGTGACAAGCATCACTAGCCTTTATTGTTTAAATTGGCTGCAAGTGCCCATGATCTGTAGTAGCGACTAACCATTAGGTGGATTGTAAATTCATTTGTCATTTCAGTTATAAAAAAACACTGACAAGCTTCAAAACATATTTATTATAGTTAACTTTGATTGATTGATTGCACAATCTATGGAAAATATTCAGAGGTAAAGTAAGGTTTTTTTTATACGAGTAAGGGTAACAAACGGGCACACAGACCATTGGAAGTAAATGCCGATGGCAATAGTCACCTATAATCTATATTATCCTCTAAAAAAATTATAGAATAAGGGTGACATACGAGCACATATAGTCCTCCTGTAGGTAAGATTTTTGTACGTGGTAGAGCCATGCTGCAGCTATATTAATAGTATAGTTGTAGCACAAATGGGTCGGCACGACCGGGAAAGGACCGCGCACTCACAGAAGACCAGCGTAAAATAGCAGCATGTTTCGTATGGTGAGTGTAGAGAACCGGAGACCCTTTTTACTGTCAAAGAGGCATTCCATCTTGGTCCTCACGGGTGACAAAGCATCTGCATCTTGACTCTTTATTGAGGATAGGTGTAGATGTCTATGGGTCACAGTAACCACTTACCATCAGGTGGACTGTGTGCTCGTTTGTCACCCCATCCTATAAAAAAAGTGGTCCTGTAGCCCCATAGAAATAAACATCAAGATTCATAGTAGTTCAAACCACTCACCATACGAAACACAGGAGCATTAAGCTGCTATTTTACGCTGGTATTCCGTAAGAGCGTGCTCCCACCCCGGAAGAGCCGACCCATTCGTGCTGCAACCATAATACAGCTGCAGCATGGCTCTACCACGTAAAAAAGTTTAACAAGCTTTTAGACACCGACGAGATAATAATAGCGCATAGTTTACACCCTTTTTACTGGAAACTTTTTACTAAGGCATTTCATCTCAGTCCTCAAGGGTGACAACGTATCTGCATTTTGATTCTTAATTGAGGATAAATGTCTATGGGCCACTTGCCATCAGGTGGACTGTATGCTCGTTTGTTACCCTTGTTCTATAAAAAAACTATTTCAATATACATAGGCTGCACTAAAAGTATCGGGAATGGGATATTTCCACTGTTCCTGTCATATTAAATTTTTTTTAATTGAAAGACCTTGGTTTTAAAAATCGAATACCATTTATTTATTTAAAAAAAGATTCTCGGTCTTGTCACAAGGTTTTGTCAAACTTGTTTAGTCGTTGAGAAAATGGAATTGACTCGAGAAAATTCAAGAGCGATGATTTATTATGACTTTCGAAGTGGTTTAACACAAAAACAGTGTGTTGACCGGATGATTTCTGCATTTGGTGATGAAGCCCCATCCAAAACCACAATTTATCGCTCAGTGATGATCCCCGTCAAGGTCGTCCAAAAACTGCAGTCACCCAAGAAAACGTTGATGCTGTGCGTAAGCTGATTGAGGAAGATCGACATGTGACATACCGCGAAATTCAGGCAACTTTAGACATTGGCATGAGTCAAATACAAATAATCTTGCATGAACAATTAGGTGTAAAAAAGTTGTTTTCCCAATGGATACCGCATTCCCTCTATGAAGAGCAAAAAGCGGCTCGCGTTACTTGGTGCGTCAGAACTCTCGAAAGATTCCACGCAGGATCCTCAAATGCTGTATACAATATCGTATCAGGTGACCAATCCTGGATATATGCGTACGAACCCGAAACAAAAAACTAGTCACGAGTTTGGGTGTTCGAAAATGAGTTAAAGCCAACAAAAATTATTCGTTCACGGAGTGTTGCAAAAAAAATTATGGCCACGTTTGTCTCCAAAACCGGCCATGTTACGACTATTCCTCTTGAGGGACAAAGAACGGTTAATGTAAAATGGTATGCTAGTATTTGTTTGCCACAGGTCGTTTCTGAACTCCGTAAAGAGAACTGCAACCGCCGCATCATCCTCCATCACGATAATGCGAGTTCTCACACCGCACACAGAACAAAAGAGTTTTTAGAGCAAGAAAACATAGAATTATTAGACCATCCGCCGTACAGCCCCGACCTAATCCCTAATGATTTCTATACTTTCCCTAAAATAAAGAATAAATTGCCTGGACAGAGATTTTCATCACCTGAAGAAGCTGTGGACGCCTACAAAACGGCCATTTTGGAGACCCCATCTTCCGAATGGAATGGTTGCTTCAATGATTGGTTCCCATCGTATGGAAAAATGTGTCAAATTTCGCGGATTCTTCGAAAAGCAATAAATACATTTTTAAATAGTAATGTTGTGTCACTTCCTTGATTCCTGAAATTTTCAGTGCCGCCCTTATACTTAAATAATCTGTAAAGATTAAAATTAAATTCAAAGTTGATTTGACGTTAATGTTTTACGAAACTGTCGTAAAAAATTATTCTGTCTAACCCTTCTTCATTTATTATGCTTGATTCTTGTTCATGATATTATTTATTACTTCTTCACGATGTTATTGCTAATATGTTTATATTATTATAATCTTTGCTTTATTCCTCTTCATGAGCCTGTAAAAGTCATGGACCTCTGATTTTTATTTTTACATAGTAATTTACTTTTTAACACTAATTTTACGAATACCTCATTCACGACGTTTCGGGTGCTATGTTAAAAATAAGTTAATAGGGCATGAAAAAACTTCTTTAAAGACCAGAAAACGCATGGGGAAAATATTGCCTAACAAGTTCTTCCCCGTGACTTCATCCGCGTGGAATTTATTACGGTTGGATTTCATGGGTTTTGATTTTATTACGCGGAGCCCTAATTGTTTTTTGAAAATAAAAGTGACCTAAGTTACTCCTTCTAACATCAGCTATCTGCCAGTAAAAGTCCCGTCAAAATCGGACCAGCCAGCCATTTCAGAGAATAGCCGAAACAAACAAACAGACAGACAGACCGACATATTATATCGATGATATTGCACATACATCAAACTAAACTTACATAAAAAATAACAACATACAGATATAGCTCCAATCCTTCTTTTAGTGTTTTTGAAGTTGAATAAAATAAAAATAAAAAATCGAAGATCAGTCAAATTTGAAGGAGAATACAGGTTAATACGAGATGATGATTTCGAAAATTATTCATTATATCTATGAATCAGCGGCAATTGTCTCTTTCAGCCTACACCGGTCGTTCGGGTACACCGCTATAGCAGTAAATCGTTAAAAACCTATTATATCATCTACCGCCATAAGCTTTCTCTGTTGTCTC